ACCACCCCCCCCCCCCCCCCCGAACGCCATACCAAATCCTATTAAAAACCAAACCATGCTTATTCCTGTAGTCTACATGTGAAAGGGCACCGTCTCTGTATAGGGGGGGTATTGTGCATGTTGGTGCCCCTACCCAGCCGTGTGCGCTCGTCCGCCCTCGCCGCGCCTGTACGCTGTACGGCGCACCACACGTAGACGACGAGAGGGAGAGCATAATCAGCGCACCCTCAGGGGGTGTGATAGACCTAGCCCAGGCTGTTGCGGCGCAAGCCTGTAGCCAAGCGTGTTCTCGGCCCGCAATAGAAGAAGTAAAGTCGGAGTCCAACTAAGAAATGGAGAGGACATTGTGAGGAAGAGGCAGGGACGGGGATAGGGTTCGGGGTCAGGGGAAGAAGACGAGGAGGTAAAGGAAGAGAAGGAGGAGGAGGAGNAGGAGGAGGAGGAGGAGGAGGAGAAGGAGAATGAAGAAGCGGGGCCGGACGTGCGCTCGACGGGGCCTAACCTCTCCCCGGAACGGCGTTCGGTGGTTGGCGTAGTTAGTTGTGCGTGCGAGAATGTCAGAAAGCGGTAGGTTGAATGGTAGGCGAACGGAACACTCCCAGCTATACTTGCCAGCTCCTACGTGACGTACGTACCTACCGCGGTTTCCGCCGAGCATTTTGGGGTTCTTTTCGTGCACGCGCGTAGAGGCGTGATGCTAACCCGGCCTCTTGAGAGTCACTGAAAACTGATTCGACGATGTCTTGTGGATGATGTGTATGGCTTCTCCAACGACACCACGTTATGCAGGCATGTAAGACGCACATTAGTGTCACGCGGCTGTGTTTTATCCGTGTGCGACAGGTTTAACAGGTTTGACTTGCACTATTGAATTCATGCAGATGAGCACAAAACACGGGGAAAAGAAAAACTGTTCTAAAATTGGGCCCTCTCGGGGGGGGGGGACCTAGGTGTGCGGGATAGCTTTTGTCGCACAACCTCAACGACACTGTAATGTTTATAATCGTGAACGGTGACAAGACATGTCATTTTGACGGTTTAGCGGCAAAGCAAGGGGGGGTAGATCACCAAATTTAAGAATTACAGGACCGTGGCAGTTCACACATGCACTGAAGCTATTTAATCGTTGGGGGGCCTATATGATGGCCGCATTGTGCGACGAGATCCGGTCTTACAGAGGGAACCCGGCCTTATTTAGAATCGGCCGTGTTGAAGACCCGTGCACCTTCTGCAGGCCAAACGAAGCGGACGATACAGTTTGAATCGGTGTTTTGCTGTCACGTTCGTGCCATGCTTCCCATCCAGACCTTTCTTCGTCTCTCAGGTAAACGTCCAACCGGTAAGAAATAGTTGTTTCGGCAGACAAACATGAATACTGTAAGTGATAAAAGAAATGCGATGGTAAAAAATAATGTCAAGGAAACAAGTCCGTACGCATTTATGTTATCTAAGAGGCGAACACCTAAGGTAGGGAAAACAGGTCTGGCGAGCCTTCTGAAAATGAACGAGACCACCGCCGACAGAGCAAACGCTGCACAAGGCATGTGTCGGTAGGGGTACTGCATTGCTATCACTGGTAGCGTCGGGAGGGGTACGTGCTGCTAGGTCCGCGAGGCTTTGCACTAGCTGTGCACGAGAGAGGGTGTAATATCACTGGTAGCGTCGGGAGGGGTACGTGCTGCTAGGTCCGCGAGGCTTTGCACTAGCTGTGCACGAGAGAGGGTGTAATATCACTGGTAGCGTCGGGAGGGGTACGTGCTGCTAGGTCCGCGAGGCTTTGCACTAGCTGTGCACGAGAGAGGGTGTAATATCACTGGTAGCGTCGGGAGGGGTACGTGCTGCTAGGTCCGCGAGGCTTTGCACTAGCTGTGCACGAGAGAGGGTGTAATATCACTGGTAGCGTCGGGAGGGGTACGTGCTGCTAGGTCCGCGAGGCTTTGCACTAGCTGTGCACGAGAGAGGGTGTAATATGCGGCGAAACCAGCGTCATTTGTACGGAGAGTGGCCCTATTGGGGGCCGGCGGGGGCAATAACCGGCGTTGTACACCTGGTGCGCAATTTCCAACTGGTACACACGAAGAGAAACAAGTTGCCGGCAAGACATGCTGGCGGTAAGCGACAAAAGCCAAACAAGGCAGTATGAAGCCAATTGCCGTGTACCGCCGATAACAGCTTTGGACAAGAACGCCTTGTGTGTATTGCTCGAGCATACATGTATTGCAGACACGTACTTCTTTTCCTGTGACTGCGCTAAGATTCGAACCCACGTCTTGAAGGTATTATGGTTGGGAGGTTACTCACGGTTGCCAATCCTATGATACATGTACAGTAGAGCGAGCCACGGTTGTTTGACCGAGCTTTTTTTGTCGTCCCATTTTTTCTGGACATATCTGTCCTTGTGCAATCCGGTACAATCCTAGACGGACGTCCAGGGAACACAGGAGGAAGGCCACACAGTTGATTGTACTCTCGAACTTCCCTCTACGGTGCTCGCCTTGATATTTATGTGTCGCGAAAAGGATTCAGCCGTTACTTTCCCTCGTGGACTGTCAAGCCCAATTTCCGCGTGGACACGAAATCATCGCTTTCCACAGCTGTGTTTGGTCATGTTGTGAGAAAAAACATAAAATACATTTCTTGTGACTGCACCAAGATCCGAACTCAAGTCCTAACTTCAGCAGGTCGCGAGGTTACCTACGGAACCTATCAGAATCATCACCGCGTGATTGGCGGTCTTATGAGATAGACACGGAGACTTCGTCATGTATCCGATACGACAAAATACAGCAGGATATCGACAATATCTCGCAGCATGACCCGTCCTAAAACCCCGCCGGAGAATTTCCTGGCGTGGGGCGCAAGGGGCACTCTGCCGAGAAGGTTGAAATACGTCAGACCTGTTAGCGTAGGCTACTCTTATTTCGATGCATGTGTTGACATTGTGTTTGAGGCAGAGAGAAAGAGGGACCTCGTGAGGGACGTGCCACATGATCCCATATGCCAAGAGTCAGAACCATGGAACAAGCAAGACCCGGGGCCGGTGCAGAACATTCGCAGTTGGACGAAACCATGTCGACACAGCATGCTCATTGCGTTTTCAGGTTTTCGACCGGAGAACATACCACGTGCGGCTGATGCCTTCATACATGCTTTCGACTGTGAGCAGTGTCTTATTGCTGTGCGCTGAACCTAGTTCCTGGCGCGCTCTGGCCCGTTTTGGCCGTTGTTTGCGACCTTCCCTTCTTCCCAGGTGCTGTCGATGTGGGAGGATGATTTAACGGGGGCGGTAAAATTCCGCGCGCGATGGCTGGTGCGCTCCTCGGATCTGTCGAAGGAGGCCTTGTCAAGGCTTCGAACGGGCCGCCGCCGGTCTGCGGGCGACGGCAGCGGCGGCGAGGAGAAGCCAGGTTTGAAAGGCAATTCTTTGCCCGATCAATCTCGAGAAACAGACGACGACGACGAGGTTTTTCTCACGACCAAGGAAGAAGATCTCGACGCGGATGCAATCGTGAAGCCAGTGGCGATCTCTGTGGCCGCGAGCGCGGCGATCGACACCCTTCGGAAACCGAAGCGAAAGACGGGGCCCCGACTCACCCACGCCTTCGACGCTTCCTCCGGCGACTTTACCCCGGTGAAGGATACGCACGCAATCATCACGCGCGCCAGAGCTCGCCAGGCGGAGGGTCTTGCAAGCGCATCAAGTGCCTCCGAGAACAGTGCTGGTGCGACGGGCAGTAAGCCCGTGGCACAGGGTCGCCCGTGGTTTCTACCAAAGCGGAAAGACAGACAAGCGGCTGGCCGCGGGAGGGATATGGTGGAAACGCCAGCGCGTGGCACCAGCAAGGAACAAGATTCGAGTGGCAGCAACGGGGATCCTAGCGTCGCCACCGACTCGGAGGACCGGGGGGTTGAAAAGGACGAACACCAAGAAGGCAGCAACGACAACGACGACGAGAAAAAATCAAGTAGGGGTAGCGGCGCTGCGGCCGCTTCCGCTTCCCCCGCCTCCGCCGACAACAGCAGCGATGAAGCCTTAACACCGAGGAAGTCGGGCCGGCAGAAGAAGCTTCGGCAGTCGCTGAACGGCCGTGAGGCTGTGGAGGTTCCGTGGCACGGGCGCCGTCCCGGTGTTTCGGAGATTGAGCGCCAAGGGCCGCCTCGCCCCGCTCGTTCTCGACGCCTGGTGATGGCCTCCGCGGACCCCCCTCGCCCTCGACGCCTGGCGATACCTCCCGCGAATACAGCAGGGGCCGCTGCAAAGTGTGCAGGAGGCGGCGCCGTGCCCCACGCGGCCGACGTGGGAGGGTCCCCTGGCTCTGTGCGGACGCGCAGGTCTGCCGCGGGTGCAGCGGGAGCTCCGCCGTCGCTGATGGGGAGCTCAACGGCACCTACCGCCGAGCTAATACTTTCGGGCAAAAGGAAACGAACTCCCACAGCCAAGCGCATGGAGGGGGACAACGAGCCATGCGAGGCAGAAGCACCTGATTTCATCCCGCCCCGGCGGACTCTCGTCGGCGAGGACCACCAGGTGGATATTCCAGACCTTCTGCCTGCTGAGGATAGAAGCAAAGCGGCGGCGGCAGGCCGTGCCGAGGGGACCGGCGCCGAGATGGTGAGTGGCTCTGCTCGGCCGTCGGCACGGTTTTCTCGTGTGTCAGCGTGGAAGAGCGCCCGGGGAAAGAAGTCCTCGTGTGTTGCCTATATACATTCCGTAGAGATTGCGAATATTGCTGTGTGCTCTTGCCCCGGGTTTCACCTGACTTGTTGGGTCGGCGGGCGAGAACTGCTGCAGCCTAGCATTCGCGAAGAAACACGTTGAAAAGGAAAATAAAGCATGATGCATGTCGACACGAAAAGCAAGCGGTGTGCGGGGCGTAGCTTGGCATCCAAGGAAGGGCTCACGAGCCTCCCATATGGTTGATTTGCCTACAAATTCCACGGCGGTATCTCCTCGAGTTTTTCGGTCCACAACAGCTACGCTCTGTGTTGTTCATGATTTGTTCTCACGCTGCACCGTCTTCTGGGCCATTCTTAGAACGTGAATCTTCGTCGTTCGCTCTGGCCTGAGGGGACTCACCCTGAGTGCTAGGTATGTGCGGTTGTCCATCACAGGGGGGTAACTGCTAGTCACATGAGCCAGCAGCGCTTTGTCGACTGCAGGCGAACCGATGACTGCAACCTCCACGGGCGTGTCCTACGGCCAAAGGGTGTACGCCCCCTTACCGGTTGTTCTTGCGCCTCAGAGGTATCCCAAAGATATCGGTGCCGCACGGCCTGACAGAGCACATAGGTTGCAGGCTTCCTGGTGTGTCTACCGGTCCTTGACGCCACATCTCTGAACTAACCATCAGGTCTGGCAAAGTGTCCGCGATTGGGACCCGCACTCCCGTGGCATGTTGGCGGGGTACCTTCAGGCAGCCAACACTATGGTCAGGTCGAAGCAGGCCCGCCCAGGGGTGGCTATCCACGTGCGCCTCGGCGGCAAGAATGAAGATGGCGGCGGCGGTGCCAGCACCAGCAATGGCAACAACAACAGCTACGCCGTGTGGGCGCTCACGACTGGCGTTAGCAGCGCCTCCGGGGATGTTCGAGTTGCGTGCTCGGAGATCGCCCAGACGGAAATTCCAGCCTCTGCCATCCAGAGGGTGCAGGCAAGGGGGTGACTTGGGGGTTCCCGGCAAAGAAACTATTGAACCGTTTCTGTGTCCTCGAGTCCCCTCTGATGAGAAACACCGGTCTATCTCCCAAGTCCTGAGAGGCCGTTTGCGAACGGGTGTGCGCCACGGTCATGGCGCTCTTTCGTTCAGGTGACGGGGTACCTCGGGGTCTCCCTGGCCGCTGGCTGACTCAGTCTTGCCGTTCGTTTTTCCTTTCCTCTTTTTTCGTGCGTACAACACAAAGTGCGAAGAAGAGGCCCTGGAGGCGCTGGTGAAAACGAACTGCGTCCTTGACAACTTCGAGCCGGCCCTCAAAATGCTAGCGGATAGCACGACGTCGCCAGAGAGCGTACAGCCGTGGTCGCTGGATCAGGTATGACCCGACTCCGAGTGCCAATTCAGCGTCGGAGATGGTGATCTCTGTCAGAGATGGCGATCGCTGTCTGCTCGGAGGATGCCCCTCATTGCACAAGCAGGAGGCTCCCCAATTGAACCGGGTAGACCAGCAAGCAGTTTTGGCGGTTGAACTTGTCCTTCTTAACTTTCAGACGGATACGCGTGGACCCTTTTGATTATTGCTACAGGTTAGAACCCTCGAGGCCGCGCTGGACAAAGATTTCGACGTCAACGGGCGTTCGCAGGGCTGGGCTCGGCCCGGGATAGACATGGATCGTGAGGACTTCATAGACATCGCTAAAGTTAGCAAGGAGGTCCCGGGAAAAACGCCCGCACAGGTGCAGTACAGTGAACGTTCTCTTGGCGTGCGCTTGCAAGTGAGCACGGGTTGTTGTCGGCAGTTGGAGATTGAGCCACACTTTCCATGTAGTCTTGTAGTGTGAGCCAAGGTGCACAAAAAAAGTCTTCCCGCACACCTACCCGACCACCCCCCCCCCCCCCCCCCCCCCCCCCCCCCCCCCCCCCCCCCCCCCCCCCCCCCCCCCCCCCCCCCCCCCCCCCCCCCCCCCCCCCCCCCCCCCCCCCCCCCCCCCCCCCCCCCCCCCCCCCCCCCCCCCCCCCCCCCCCCCCCCCCCCCCCCCCCCCCCCCCCCCCCCCCCCCCCCCCCCCCCCCCCCCCCCCCCCCCCCCCCCCCCCCCCCCCCCCCCCCCCCCCCCCCCCCCCCCCCCCCCCCCCCCCCCCCCCCCCCCCCCCCCCCCCCCCCCCCCCCCCCCCCCCCCCCCCCCCCCCCCCCCCCCCCCCCCCCCCCCCCCCCCCCCCCCCCCCCCCCCCCCCCCCCCCCCCCCCCCCCCCCCCCCCCCCCCCCCCCCCCCCCCCCCCCCCCCCCCCCCCCCCCCCCCCCCCCCCCCCCCCCCCCCCCCCCCCCCCCCCCCCCCGGGGGGGGTACGATTGATGTTTTTTTTTCGTGGTGCATATTTGTAGAGCTTTGTTGGCTCTATCGCTCTCCATTGGGTGTGCTTGCGTGTGGTGTTCACGGCACGCAGAAGTGGACAAGGACCTTGTTACCAGGTACCTCGAAGTAGTGCTTGTTTGATAGGGTTGGGATAATTAATGGCGTGTACATTAAGCGCAGATTGCTACTTCGTACTTATTGTTAATAGCTGTGATGGGCTGCCTAACTTCTACTTGGTTTCAAGTCTTGGGAGTACAGTGCTTGGGGACACCCCCTCGAGCTAGAAGTAACGTAGAACTTCTCAATGCTCCCGCGACAAGTCCGCCACATTTAACCTTGGGCGAACATGGCGAAGTAACACACCACACAACAGAACCAAAGGATACATAAACACCGTACGTCAAAACGTCAACAATCCAAGCATACTCAAGCCGGCAACATAATATACCGAAGAGGGGCTGCCGATGAGCCTACGGCCGTGGTATCACCTTCACCCCGTGCGTTCAAGTACTTATTCACTCCCCCAGGCCCCTCCACCTCCCTTAACAAGACTAAACCGCTGTATCTTCGAGCGCTTTCGCCCCGAGCGCCTTCGCCCTCCCTCCTCGTCCCTCTCGCCCCTACCCCACCCTCCCCCTTCTCAAGCTCGCCCAGTGGCTACGTGGGTCATTGCTACCCCCGTGCATGAAATGTGCCCCCTCTATGTAGTGTTTTAGTATGGGCATGTTTATATAGGAAATTGTATGGCGTCGGGGGGGGGGAGGGGCCTTTGTACCCCCCCCCCCAAAAAAAAAAATTGTCGGGTAGGTGTCTGTTTTTTTTTTTTCGTGCACCCGTAAGCGGTTGGGTGGGTTGGTTGCCTAGCGCGAACGCGTACTCTTTGTGCGTCGTTAGCCTTGTTTTGCGGTCTATTTGGTCGTGATCTTTCGATAGGACCTCCTTGTATGACTCCACTCTCAACTCTCCTACGTGCTTGTTGTTGCGGTGTCCGCTTGCCCCCTCCCCTCTCCCGGAAACGGCAAGGTGTTGCAATTCTACTTCAGATATCTTGCTGCCGCAAGGCCTCTGACAGACGTCGTCTACGGCCCAGAGGTGAGGATGTTACGGCCTTGTATCTTGTCAACCAAACCTGACCCATATGGTTCAATTCTACGGGGTATCGAAAGACCTGCACATGCCTCTCGCCCGAGTAAACCCGCCCGAGTAGTTTGCAGATATGTTTTGGTGATACTTGATTTTGGGCCCGGGTGCGCGGGGTGGATCCCTTGAAGTGCACCATGAGTGTACCTAATCGTAATGCTACCGCTGAAGACTCCGTGGGAAACTAGACGTGCAACCTGCGCATCGAAGTTGGTAGTGTCAAGGGCATGCGTGTTCACTCGAGGGAGGAGGTCCGTCGTAGCACAGCATGTTTCTTGGCATGTTCCGGGAACCCTCTCTGAGCCATATTCTCGCCGTGTAAATTATGGTTCGAGTCTTGTGTGTAGTTGGGTCGTGGGAAACCGGGATTGAAAATGTTGCCAATGTCGCCAAAACCGTACTTATCGACGAAATATGAGCAGTCCAGTTTGTGATTTGCACCCAGTGTTTGACACAGTAGACAGCAGAGAAAACGGTGAGCGTTATTGAAACAATGGCCGCCAATCCTCTCGTTGGACATATATAACAGTGGCCGTCCCGTTGTTCCTTCCAGAATCTAGGCATCTCTTTCACGACGTTCGTCAAGTGCGTCCGTCCGCGTCTTGAAAAACGCAACGCACTATTCGAGTCACGTTTTCACGACAAGCGACACCGAACCTTGGGTGGGGGAGATGCCTCTACTTCCTTCATCCCAAAGGAGAACAAAGAAGCGAGACACTGTTGTAGAGTCTCGGTCATGATCCTGCCTTTCTCGCCAAGCTGCTTTACACCACTGCGGTTTGTGCCGACACCCCGAGTACAAGGCCCTGGCAATAACCTCCCCAAAGTTTCCGAGTGCTCGACTGTCTCTCACTCTGTCTATTCTGCATCATCACATCCTTCCCCTTATGACTTTTGTATCGCTTGTAGGCGGCCGAGGCACGAAAGAGAGAGAAGCTCTCAAACGATGACTCGGACGTGGAGATACCGGTGACCCCTCGAGGGGCCTCCGGACGACCCGCCCGAAGCGGCTCAGACACCAGTCCGTCACATCGTGTCACGAAGCAAGAGCCTGCCGGAACGCGCAGAGTCAGCCCCTCTCCTAACGGCAGCGAAGAACCCCGCGAGGCGACCACGAGCCCGAAAGGCACCGGGTCGCGCACGGCATCGACCTCCGGCCTGCCAATGCGGGGCGACGGCCCGCGCACCGGTGACAATGGTAGCGACAGTACTCACGGGACACGAAAAGACCGCCCCTCTGAAGGGAGCGAAGCAGCTCCCGGGCCCCGTCCGCGTGACGCGGAGATACTGCAGGTAAGAGGGCAAAAATGTTGTCTCGGTTCGATGTGCGGCGAGTTCGTTCCCAGCCCGTTTTGGAAGCACACGCCTCCGCACCGACTGTGTGTGTACAGCGCGGCTGGCGAAGCGGTGCACGTGCCGTATGGCTCGGCTCTGGCTTGCTCTCTTGGCGCGGAGGAGACACTCCCGAGAGCTTTGGAATTCGTCGGCCCTGCCCACAAGCTTCACGGTCGTTCTTGTTTCTCCAGGCTGGTGTTTTGTTCAGAGCAAACCGGTCCGCAGGACGCAACCCGTCAAGCTTATCTGGAGGTCATTCCAACCACGTCGGTACTGTAGTTCTTCCCCGCGTATGCATAGCACCGCAGGTTGCACAAGATACCACGCACCGGACGGATTTTCTGAGCTCGACCACTCCACGACATTCAGAAAATGAGACGTTTTTCGGGAAGGTCTCGACGAGACGCATCCCACGCCACATGTTTCGGCAACGCCACGTGATTTTTGCTCCGGAATAGTCGAGCTTTGAAAGACGGTCCAGGGGGGGTGTGGTATCTTATGCAACCCACGGTATCCAGCCACAGCAGTTCCATGTGCATGGGCAAGTTTCCGAGTGGTGGCCTCTCGTTGCACCCGGGTGTTGACAGGTGGAGAGCGGTGACGACAGAAGCAATCATCGCACGTCTCGAACATCAGCGCCTGTCGCTCGGGGCCCTGGAGAGCAAGACTCACGGTCCAGCCAAGCCGTCCCTCAGAGGAGGACTGTGTGGCGGCCGATATCAACCCCAGGTGGGTTGGACACGTACGCGGCCCAATGGTTGCTGATCAATGGCGGTCTTGGGGCTGGTGCTACCAGCGAGAGTGATGGCACGTGTGCAACAGGAAACAAACAGCCGGGGGGCGGGGGGGACGTCCAAAGCGCGGTAGATGATGGAACTCAATGCCCTGGTGCAATGATGTTGGTTGGCGTAATGCTTGAAACGTGCGGTGGGCGTACGCAAGCCGTGTCTTGAAGCGTGATACCCCTCGAGGTTCTTAAAAGTTAAAGGATTTATGTCGCTCATTTGTGGCGAGACTATCAAATGTGCAACCGACGTTGGGCCTTTTGTATTTGTCGATTGTGGCTGTCCCGGCTCGATCGATCCTTGCCGCTTTTGCACCCACCAGCGCCAAATCAGCACCCGTCGGAAGGACTTTCGATGCCACCGCGCTCGGTGCCGGGCAGAGTGCGAGACCAGCGTTCTGATGGTGGGAGTGATGTGGTCATGGCAGAGGGTCGGTCAGGCTTTGGTGGAGGTGAACAAGTGTTCGGATTCATGGCCCCGTGCTGGCATATATTGGAGAGGGCGCACGCCTACATGGACCCGGTAAGGACTTTCCCCCTCAACGTGAAACGCCGCGTTTCCCTGCAGTTTTTCGTTCATGCCCTTTTTTTTGTCATGTGTCGCTGTTTTTGGTTTTGTCATTCACTCGCCTGCCTGGGAGCGTGGCTCATACGATGAGGCCGATCCACATGCGGCGAAGGCCTGGTTGCGGGGTCGAGAAGGAGCAAGAGAATCGACGTGTGCCGGAATACAGGCCTTATTTGGGCCCGTGCACTTCTTACGTCTTGGAACCCCACGTCCCTGTCTGCTCGCATGCCGTTCAGGATCAACTTTCTTACATGAAAAGTCTCATCCTCGCTCATCTCAGGAGGCCCATGTCAAGGGATCAGGTGAGGCACTACTATTAATAATCGCACTCTAAGTTACGCCCCGCTTGCAGTTTTCAGAAGCAGAAGTTCTTGAGGTATCGTCCGGTTTTTCGTAGGGGCGATCTGGCACGTTGCCAGCGATGCCTAACGTTGCTCTGAGTTACACACCATTCTGCCCTTTTTTGTGGCCCTTGTTCTTCGAGTTCTATGCAGGGTAGTCTGTCGTTAGGCGACTACGGTCTTCGGGTGTGCCATGCGGAGCTTACACATTGTTGCGTTCTCTCGGACCCCGCACCCCCACCCCACCCTTGCGCTTGCGTATTTCCCTGCCGCACTTTGGATGCCACAAGCTGCTTAAGAGGGTCAAGAGTTGCCTTCACGAGCAACAGCACATCTACACCGCCTTTGTCAAGTGAGCTGCGTTTCTCGTGTCTGCTGTTGTGCTGCCGCGAGGCTGAGCCAAGGGTGTGCGGTGCGTGAGTCGGGGTAGAAAATGAACCGTTGCTGTGGTATCTTGTGCGAAAATTACCGACTCCTGGGATACAAAAAAACACATATCGTGACCAGGGACTTGTCCATGCAGGCTTCCTTTATTCGGCGCAATGTTGTGGAATATGCTAGGCGTGCTGGCCACTGGCAAGGTGATTTCACGAAGACCGAGTTATCCAACGCGGCGCCCTCTCTCTCTCTGTGCCGTATCCAGGATGTTTGATCACGTTGACCAGACCCCGCTGATGCCGCTATTTCCGGCGACGAGAAGGACCCCGGCGGTCATGCCACCCCAAGGACATGTCCCTCATGCCGCCTTTGCCGCCTACCCTCCCCCGGTAGAAGGTCCTCCCTACATGATACGCGGCACGACGCTAGGGAGTGGCGGCGGCAGCGGCGGCGGCAGCAGCGGCAGCGTGCGAAGGGGGGCGGCGCCGTCCTATTTCTACCCGGGAATGGCTGCTGCTCCCGAAGCCGGTCGCACGAGTGCCCGCCAGTGGTCGATGCCACCGCACGGAGCAGGAAGTGCCAGCGTCGGCGGCGACGGTTACAGCGGGATGCATGAAGGAAGAGCTGGGGGTGCAGACGCTCTTCGTCATCGTGGTGCGTACACTTCTCCTGTGCGCACTACTCCCGCTTACCAAGGCCGGCGAGACGTGTATGACAGGGATATGGAACGGAGGGAGGCATGGTCTGCACAGCAGCAGTCCCAGCAGCAGCCGAGGCCGCGGGGGGTGAATGGGTCGGCGGTACGCCCGTCAACCGGACACGCGTCGGCTAGATGGATGCCCGGCCCTACGGAAGCGTCCTGGGGGGGCGGCGGCGGAGATGTTTACCGCTGAAAATGGAGCTGCCTGGCATGGTGTGCGGATTGTTGATACTGGTTGCATGGTTGCTTTTGCAACATATACTTGTGCGAGTTTAGCTACGTTGTGGCCTGTCTAGCTTTGGGAGGTGAATGCGCCACGGCCCGGCACTTATACACGATATTTTCTGCATCGTCCTACGCCGTTCTGTAAGTAAACCTCACTCCAACACCCTCTTCTATTTGCATGTGATTTTACCTCATTAGGTGCCAGTCAACCGCATTTTACTGAAGGCTTCTCGTTCCTTTGTTCTTCCACCCATCAGCAATTCTTGGGGGTTCTTGGTGGTCTTAGTAGAGGACGTGTGCTCACGGTAGCGCTTTTTAGTTACAGCAGTAGTCTAATAGCATTGTTTTTTGTGTCGGAGGTTGGTTCATGTTTCCAGCGGCACCACGGGTGGTTCATGTGATGAAGGGTCCTAAACTGAGTGCGCAAAAGTCGTGGTGTGATTGATATCGTGCTCGGGTTGGTGAGGAGGCGGTTGGATCGTTGTGGTTCTCGTAACCCTCGCTCAACGTCCTGCCCCAGCCTAATCCTGTACGGCCGACAGGCGAGGTTAGCGTAGGCATGCCGGTCGCCCCGGTGGTCTAGTGGTGACCTCGAAACCGCGGGGCGGCGTCGTGAGGTCGAATAACTCATGGGGTGAAAAAGCAACAGTTTGCGGGTGGAAGCGAAAAAGCTAAAAGCTCGTGAGTACCAAAATTCGACGTTAGCACCGTTGACGAGGGAAAGGAACAGCTGGACCCTTCTCGCGATAAAAAAAAAAAACAGCACGCTCCGCAGAAGGAAGGTGGAGCACGAAAATAATATGAAAACAAAAAAGGCCCGGTGATTACCCCCCTCCTGTTTGACCCCGGATGGTTGTAGTTGTACGAAAAATGAAAATACGCTGCGAAGTGGGGGTCCTCTACCTACACTGAAGCACGTGTCGTACAGGTCTCACCACAAAATTGAGGGGACTGTCACCTTAAGCAATAGGACGAAAAACACAAAAAACATTTGTCTATGAATTTGCCATCTGTGCCACGTCTTGTGTGTGCTCCTCGTGGCGGGGGGCGCCTAGGGTTGCCGTCACTCCAACCATGTATTTCGATTCGTGGCATAATGAAGTATCCGCCTACAAAGCCACTATTTCCTTCCCATTCTAGAAGGCATGTGTCCCTTAAAAACCTTAGTCCTCACGCTCGAATAGCGTAGTCCGGGTTTTGTGTGTTTGGTACTGTCAGCCTCGCTCAATATTACGTTCGCGAGGCCCTTTGTCTGACCTTCCGTACCAAGCCGCTCTGCTCCTCCTTCACCATCGCGTGTGCTGGGTACATTCTTGTATGATTGTGTTGGCACCAGCTGTACGTCTTGCATCTCATTTGGCTGTCACTACAAAATTATTTTTCTTTAACGTGCAGTAGGGTTCACACACACACAAACACGCGGAGTAGCAGGCTTGGTAGACACGTGGGCAATGTCCTTCTGTTGATACCGTCTCCGTCTTCAATCCGGAGAGAAGTTTAGCCTCCCCCGTTACGCCCTTCTCACGAGGTCCCGGATGATGTAGCCTTTAGAAGTATTTTGTGTTGTCAACCGCACTGAGCCTGACGTTTTTTCATTGGTCAGGCGGTTAGCGCGGTCGATGCACATTAAAGTAACACAAAACACAAAACACAAATCTGACGTCAAGGGCCACCCAGGTCGGTTGCTCAATTACACGGACCCATTAGCTTAGAAGAAAGTTCAATCGACCGCACGCTGGACGTGCGCACGAAGATGAATATCATCAGCACGCATACCCTGTACGTACGATAACAACACACGCACGCACTAACAAGCTAACGCTCCCACTTCCACGCGTACTTCGGTAGCAGACGTAAAAGAAGCACGCTATTATACGCAGGATGTCGTAAAAAACAGAGGAAATGGCAATTTTTATGCACTCAAATAATGAAAACACGACAACGTGGTCGATCATCATCAATAAACAAAGAAGGACGACGCGCAGAACCTTAACAGATGGAAGAAAACAGGCTTTCGCTTGGAGACACCATAATAACGAAAATTGGGGTTAAGTGAAACGGCGCCAGGCATTTGCTTCGCTGCTTCATATTTTAGCCCCAGCCACCTGCCCTACCGTGTCGCCATTCCGACACCCTCCGCCCAGACGCATGCGCCTCGAGTGGCACAGGAGGTGCTGACGGCGAACAAGGGCCATCCGTCCGCCACTCACACGACCTCTGCTGCTGCCGTTGTTGTGGCCAGCTCCTCACTATTCTCGCTTCCCGATCTCGCCCATCCTCTCGATACATCATCCCGGGCCCTGCCGCAGAGGCTGGACCACGGGGAGGAGAGGGATGGCGGTATGTGGAGCCGGCCAGCCGATGAGGCGGGAGGACAGCTTCATCGTTCTGGTACCCCCTGCCGACACCCTTGCCCCACGCAACCGCGTACTGCGGCAACGGCTGCCGCTCACGGCGGGCATCCACCCCCGCCGCCGCCGCGGCAACGCGACGGTAGGTATCGTTGGGCCGTGCCCTCGCGGCCGTGGCACCGGGGGGCACCGGGTATTCGCGAGGAACCGCAGCAGGTACTCGGGAATAGGGGAAAGGTGGCCGTGCCCCGCCGTCGTCCGCGTGGGAGTGGATCCTCCCCCTGTACGACACCGACTCGGGCGGATCGTCACGGGCTGTTTTCATGGCTGGGTAAAAGGGCACCGGTGGAGCTTCGGCGTGGATGAGATCGACGCGGTCGAACGTCCTGCAGGGAGAATTATTGTTTGTGTGGGTGGAACCAGCGCACCCGAAAGAGAAATAAGTGGAGGTCGTAGGGGGCGAGTTTCGACAAACGATATGTTGGTCGTCCCTGAAGAACAGGGAAGGGGCAGCTATTGCGTGCCCACCCGTAGCAACGTCTCCTTTCGCGAGGTATAAAAGTCTTCTCATTGTTGCTATAGAGGCTGCAATCAAATCATTGGACTAGTCAGCCGACTACTGACATGGCTACAATGGTCGGCTGACTAGCCTAGCGGTTTGATTTCGGCTCCTATTCAAGTCAGTCGTGGGGTTCGTGTGCCCCGACTCTTTCAGTTCCGAGGAGGGTAACCCCTTGCTACTATCCGTCCAATCCTCATTTCGCTTCATATCACTCGCCACCAACATCCTAAAGATTTTTTTAGGGTCTCAGACGAGTCCTTCAGTAATCCATACACTGGCCGGGAGTATCCAGGGTCTCAGGGAAAAAACTACGTCGAAGTGTGCAGCCTGGGTCTCGAACCGACGACTAACTTTTGTACAAGCCGCAATCACACCATTAGGCAAGCCCATTCGACTGGTCAGCGCTGACTTTAGTCCAATTGATTCTGCTTCAATATCCTTCAGCGTGATCATGTGTCCTCTTTCAAACGGTACGTCGCGGCTGTGGCAAACACGAAACTCTGCGCGGGTCGACACTCACTTGACGAAGGCGGCGAAAACCTGCGGCTGTTCCGCTAGGCAGCTCTCGGCTCTCTCCAGTAGCTGGGTTGTACAATCGCAATCCACGCAAGCACGATCCATACGGGTGCAGAAATACGAGGATCGAAGGGGACACGACGGGAGCACAACGGCGTGAAAAGGAAAACCAGAGGGATATCAAGGAGGGAGTATTACTTCAGTTGACTAAATGTCTGAGCCGTCTCCAAGCCCTTACGCGTCATCACAAGCCAGACGCAACAAAACACCACATAGAGGATAACTCGCACGGACACAATAGACAATAACACATCCAAACGAGGGGGAGGGAATATCCGTAAACCATGTGCGTCTGGTTGAGGAGGGGCCAAGAACACGTCTGGATGCAAAAGCATGTCAACACACGAGGGGTACACACCTGGGCGCGAGTCATGGGCTTTTGGACGTGCCTGAGGATGAGGCCTCTCATATACACAAGCTGGTCCTGAAGGGCAAACAACAACATGGAAGAAAAACGGCGGTTGAACGAATAATGGCGGGTGAACATGGAGGCATACACACTTTCCGCATCAAAAGAACAAGTGGTGCGACACGACTGATCTCCTACGAATCATGCGTAACCAAAGTCCGCAACCCACGAAGTCCGACAGAGGCGAGTGAGAAAGAGAAAGAGAGAGAGGAGATAAAGAAAGAAAAAGAGAGACAGGAGAGATAGAAAGAGATGGAAAGAGATAGATAGATGGAGAGAGGAGCGAGAGAAAGGCCTCAGGTCGATGAGCCAACAGCACTACCAACACACACTACCAAGGGTTCACAGCTTCATTCAACTGAGCAAAACCACCCAAGCAACTGCCTCACCTGGTCCAAGTACGCTTGTGCCTTCTCCAGCAGACTCCAGCACGGACCCATGAAACCGAACACGTCTTGCTCCAATAATTCTTCGCGCCGGTCTTCGTACGCGGCCGAGTATCTGCCCATACGGCCATCACCAACCTCGCGGCGGATATGGTAGGGGTGCTGTTGCTGTTGCTGCTGCTGTTGCTGTTGCTGCTGCTGCTGCTGTTGCTGCAGCCGCGGTGGCTGCTGGCCCGCATGCCTCGGCATGGCGACGTTTGTGCGGCGGCCGTGCCAGTTCGGGGGGACCGGTCGAGCTGCCGTCGGAAGGTAGCGCCGTTGGTCTGGGAGTGTCAAACAGAAGAGACGGGGAGAGAGAGAGACTACGTGAACGCGACGGCAAGTGGGGGATGATGTAGGTACATGCGCATGCAGTTTTTCGACCAATGTTTTACTCGGCTTTGCCGCATCATTCCAAGGCCGGAATTAAGAGGAAATCCGCCATGGTGGCATCAAAACAGCCAGTCACCAGACGTGGTTGTAAGCACCTGCTGCCGCCGCTGCGTCCGACATTACTGGTGGGACCGGACGGGGGCGTATCGGCCTGGGGCCCCACGATATCTCCGGCGCATGGCCAGCTGGGTGCCATCCTCCCTCCCCGGTGCTGGGGTGGTGTCCACGCGCTGTTGCCACTTGTGCCGCGGAGCCAGCGGCGTGGAACGCCGATCCCCTCGGGGCCCTTCTAGCAATCTCTGCTCCGTCATCGCTGTCCTCCACCTGTTCGATTTGTCGCAAAAGGGGGGAAAAATGAAACTCTCAAGTATCTCGCTACTACTGCCGTACTTTCAGTTCCCCCCTTCATGTGCATGATACCCCATTGAAACCGCTGTGAGAGTGTGGGTAAAGCGACAAACGGTTGAAAAAGTAGAGAAAGTTGGCGAATTGCCTGTTGGAGAGCTGGGGTGAAGAAACGCTGTCGGGGGCTCTCCCACCCCTGGCAATCGACCAAATGCATTCGTGCAACATCCACACTTGCTGCCACAATCACGCGGCATCATGCGACGTGAAACCTCAGGACAATGAGCCAGACGAAACGAATAATCTCACGTACCTCTAGCACCTCGACGCCCGGGGGCATATCCCTCGGCGTCCGCCACATTTGCTCCCTGGCTGCCCGCTGACGCTCGTATTCACCACCAACGTTCCGGTTGGCACCGGCAGGACCGTGGCTGCGCGGGGCGTGGTCCACGGCAGGAGACACGGTGCTACGCATCGGGGGAGAAACCGTGTGCTTCGGTGGCCTCACATCTTCCCGCTCCCTTAAGGAGCCCTTGGCTTCAGAGGCAGGAAGCAGAGGGACTGCAGGAGTGCTTGACTTGCGGTCGGCCGGGGGATCGTATGTCGCGGCGCCTACGCTGTCGCTGGCAGGGGTGGCCGAGCTCATGTGCTTGGCGGCCAGCCTGAATGTTGAGATGTTCGACTCTCGCCCAGGGCTGTCAGTAGGGAGGATGGCTTCGCGTTTTCGTGCTTCAGCCGCCTGCGTGGAACCAGAGGGCATTGTTGATGCATAGAGCGTACAATGCAAACGAGCGTACATGTTAGCGTGTGTTTCAGCCCTCTCAGGACAACGTCTCCGTCGATATTCCAAAGGCTCTACCACGAGGTGTCCAATTACCGCACATAGTACACAGGGGAAACTGCTCCATAGACCAGGGGTACGCGACGGCTTCTCCGTTTATAACATCCGTCTACAACGAATGTCGAACCTCCGGCAACAACCCTTTCTACCGGTGGGAAACGATCTCCCTACAGCCGACAAACAAAAAAAAGTGTTCAGCCTACAGCTGTATGTGTGTTTTGTGTTCGTCGTATCTACTAAGGCGACAGTCGTCCAATTTTTCTTGGCGACACGTGTTCTGTACCTTTCAGTGTATGTAAAACACTACAATTTTCAGTGATTTTTTTTACAACCACCATCCAGGGTCACAGAGGGGGAAACACCAGGGCTTTTTTTTCATATTTTTGAATATTTTTTTTTCGTTCCCCACCTTCCGACGTTGTAAAACAAGCCAATTCTCTTCGTGAACTCGGCAACCAGGTTACCGTTTTTTTTTTTTTACCTCCGTTTTTTTTTTTTTGGCGGTAACCAGAATGGTGGTCGAGTAGATCATGTTGTGCGTGGTGGAGAACCCTCACTCCGCGCAAGGGGGATGATCGCACCACGTTGTGTTAATATGGTCAAGCACCCTCGAGGCAGTTACACAGTGCTTACAACTGTCTCTGGAAGTGAAAGCACCAGAAAATAAGTTAAGTCATACGCAGCTGTCATCCGTACGCAAGGAAGTAAGCACAAGATGCCGAAAACGCTTAGCAGGATGCACCGCACCCTTCATGCGACTCGCCGAATATCTCACGG